CAGAGGGAGAAGCAGACTCCCTGCTGAGCAGGGAGCCTGATGTGGGACTTGATCCCGGGACTCCAGGATCATGACCTGAGCCGAAGGCAGTCGCTCAACCAACTGAGCCACCCAGGCGCCCTTCAATTGACTTTTTAAAATTGATTTAGTCATCAAATATTTACAGACGGTCTACCATGTGTCACACCCTGTTGCTGAATTATAAAATTTCGTATCTAACTTCATAGCTTTTATCTGATGGCTGAGAATGCTTAGGCATTTATATTAACTGCTTGATATTTCATCATCCAACAGCAATAATAATGAAGTATTTTTGATGTATACATACGCTTGTTTCTTGCACGAACCCGAGAGTCTGTCAGGGTAGACCAGTAGTGTTAACTCCTAGACTTGGGGTACACTGAATGCACCACAGAGGTAGAGCTGTCTGTATTTTCCCCTTATTCACTTGGAGACCTCTGCTTGGAGGAGACAATCTGTGGCTCCTCCTTCAATTTTGGTAAAGCAGATCATCTGCTTTGCAAAAGTGATTGTCTCTTGGTCGTTGGAGGCATTTAGTTTCTTGCTGGGAAATACACTACAAAAGGTTTTACCAAGATTTATTAAATGGTGTTGATGGTGTTGACTCAGTGACTATTGATTATCTCTGTGATCCTTTCATTTAGAGGTAGCTTCTTTATGGAGCTACCATGAGGTGTGGCTGGGTAAAGGCTCCCGTGTGGGTGAGAGGGGTGCCTCTCTTCTGTAAAGCAGAAGGACCCTTATAACGGGAGGCGGGAAAAGGGAACCAGCCCGATGGCCAGACTACAGGCACACTCTCAGGAAAATCACTGAGAAAAAAAAGCATACACAGAGCTTATCCATCTGAACTTTGACAGTCTTAAAATGGCTGCATGCCCCTAGGAAAACGTACACCCCCAGGGATTCAGGGAGCCCTGCTGAAGATCACAGTCTTGTGGATGAGGAGATTAACGTATCCTGAGTGGTTGGAGGGGCAGGGGAACCAGAGAGGGGCAGGTTTGGGTTCATATTCATGAAAGAGTGTTCCTGAGCCAAGGACTGTGTGGAGTAGCCTGCTCTTGTCACATGACATCATTAATTTAGAAAATACAGCCCACCAGGTCTTTACCTTTTGTTTCCAAGCAACATCTTTGTAAACTACATTTATAGTAAGTTTTGTCCCCCTCTGCTGGCAGAAGTCATTATTGCAGACTCCTTCCCTTGTCTTCACTGATTGTAGACTTGCAGTGCTAAAAAGACCTCCGAGATCACAAATGGAAAACATTGGTGTTGCACTCATTTGGCATAAAATTAACACAGATATGGCAAAACCTTTTGCTTCTACATAACACATTGTCTAAAATAACTCCGTAGGTTGGTTTGGCCTTTGTCTTTGACGGATGGACTCTCTCTAGGGGTGGAATACAGCCCGGATAAGGGCTTTGGTTGTGCATGTGGCCTTCTGCCAAGGAGGCCCTTGGGACAATTATTGAAATGTAGTTTAGTTTCCTATACTCTGCAAACTCAAATTAATGATGCATGATTACCCCCCCCACACTTTTAGGGTCCCCACAAATGGTGCCTCACCTTGATTGCCCACAGTTCTCTGTACCTTGAGCACATTTCCTGTGTTAGCACAGGAAGCTAGAAGCTGAGGTCTGGACTCTGTGGTGACAGGGGTCTGGGCTGTGGGTTTGGTGTTGCTACTGTGTATCTCAGGTAGGACTTCTGCGTCCCCCAGTGTGAGAGGTGGGCTTTTTTGAAGACCCCTTTCTCCTTCCTCCTTGTGCCCCCAATACTTCTGTTGGCCACTCCTTTCTAGAAATTCTGTATCCCCTTGCCTTCTATTACATTGAACTTTACAAATTCTTTTTTTTGAAGTCATCTATTTTTTGCTTGCCTCCTTTTCCTCCTTTGAGCCCCAAACTATTAGATGTTCCCCAACATTTTATCCACAGACTCTGTTTTCATCTTGAAAAATCTGAGAAAAAAAATCTCAGGTCCCCTACCTGTCATCTTCTGTATAGATTCTCTCAAAGTCCTGTCTCCAGCCTGAAATTTCCCCCAAGCTATTGTCCTCCGTGTCCAGCTACACGGGGCTACTCTCCTTTGGAGCTTTTCTGCCATCTCAAACTAAGCATGTCTAAAGTGAAACCTATCTTTTTATCTCCTCAGGTGACCATTCTTTCATGATGAATGTCCCTTCCCCCATTCAGGATGCCTGCCTATAAGTCATTCAAGTCATCATTAGCTACTTTCCCTTTCCCTCCTTTGCCTCTTGTGTCTATTTTTGGCTTCCAGATCCTTCAGCCCAGTCTCTAGAACGATTCATTCCTTCCCATTTCCATTGTTAGGGTTTAGGGCTCAGGCTTTTGTCATTTTTTGCATGGGTATTGTTGGCCCTCCAACAGCCCTGTGTGTCCTGTCTGCTTGGATTTTAGAAATCTTCCTCTTCAGAAATATTTAGTGGTTTTCTGCTCTAGAAACTGGCATTTGGTGTTGGCCAGCCTTCTCTCCCTCCCCACATTCTGACCCTTCTAGGTCAGCTGATGGGATCTCTTCCCAGCCCTCAAGTGTTCTCTGGTGTCTGACTTGATCTAGAACATCCTCTGTGTAGCTGCCCCTTTTCATTTCCAAGGTCTGCCTGTCCTGTGAATCCTGGCTCAAGTCTTCATTTCTCTATAAAGAATATCTCGCTCGTGCCACTCTCTCTGGAACCGCGTGATCATGCAACTGTGATGGTGGGTCAGGCAGGTATCGTCTTGTGATGTCTTTTGTACTATGGTCTGGGTGTTTGATCCTGTACTCTTCTTTAATCTTTCGCAAGTATCTGTCTTTTCTGCAGACTCAAGGTGTGAATGGCACTGTGCACACAGCCGACGTTTTAGAGATGCTTGTTGAATTAGAATGATGGGATGGCAGGCATGATCTCTGGTCAGAAGTCAGCACTCAGCAATCTTGCCAGCTCTCACAATCCCTTTTTACCATCCTCAGATTTCAGATTGACTGTCTTCGCTTGTGTGTGTGTGTGTGTGTGTGTTTTAGTTGCAGATCCCTAGTGTGAAGGGCTTTGATTTTGCTAAGCAGCATCTGGGTCAGCACAATAAAGACGACATCTTGATTATTCATGAGCCAGCACCACTGCCAGGACCGGGACCGGTGAAGGACCACACCACGCCCTCTGAAAACGGAGATGTGCCGAGCCCCAAGGCAAAGATCCCTTCCAAGAACCTCCGTCACAGAGGAAGGTTCTTATCGGGCTTTCTGTATTGTTCCCTATCACAGAGCATGCTTCCCTTCTCAGTTTTGTCAGTTTCCAGTGTGAGAAGAGCTGATGGTGAGTATCCCCTGGGTGTGCAGCCCGGGAGACTGGCAACAGTTTGCCAAAGTCCACGAACCACAGGGCTCTCGATCCACTCCAGTGGACCACCAGAGGCGGCCAGATGCTTTGGTGGTCCCACCCCCGAGACTTGATTAGGTCTTGCCTAGCTCGAGTGGGTATATTCTGGGGTGATCGTTCTGGGCCCTCTGGAGATGATACCAGAAGTAATGTCTGAAAAGTGCATGACACATAATACACACTCAGCCTGTACTGACTTTGCCTTCCTTGCTGCGTCTGCGGTGACTTTCATCACGTCCTTTATTCTTTGCTTGCTTTCCCTCTGGCCGGCTCTGCTGTCACCCTCGTTAGCATGTTTCCATGGACTCGGCACTGCCTCCTCCCTGCCCAGCTCCCCATCCCCACTGTCTTTCCATTCCTCCTATCAAAGGGAAGCAGGCCGAGGGCTTCGTGTTAACACGCCACCTGGAAGTTCCCCCTCACCCTCTGATCCTAGGAGAAGGGCTGTAGCTCCGTGGAAGTTCAGAATCAGGTTTTATGCAGCTGCCTTTAGATCTCAGCACAATCACACTAGGGTATGGAAGCCTCAAATTATCAGCCTGCCTTTGAGCTTTGAACTCCAAATCTTGATTTCCTGCGAAGAGGGAAGAAATGTGTGATCATACCAACATTTGAAACGCTGTCACAATTTCTACCCCAGGGGGTTCTGGCCTAGTTTTAACAATTTAATGGATGTTACACCATGATCTCTACAAAAGAAAATGAATTATGTCGAGAGATGTTATTTGCTTAATCATCTTGCAGGCTAAGAATAAATCAAATCACATTAAAGACTGTTGAATATGTTAGTATAATTTTGCCAAGTTTTTTTTTTTTTTCCTCTTCCCTTGGTCGTCTCATCCTAAACATTTAGATGTAACATTTCAGTGGTCTGCATGATTAATGTAGGACTCAGGGGCACCGAGAGAAGAGGTGCTAACAGGTTAAGGACTTTCATTAGCCTCCTGCAACCTAGTTCTGTGTCTCCCTTGCTTTTGATAGACAGATTCAAAGCTCAGGGGTGATCGTTGCTTTTGTGTTGTAAGTATAGGCTTCTCCCAGAGCTCTGGGGTTCTGTGGGGGAGACAATAGGACCACCCTGGGTTCCTAGAGATTCTGCAGTCCCTGTTGACCGGGAACCAGGCCTGAACCCCAGATCTTCTGATACAATCTATGCCAGACCCAGACTACCAATCCAGGGCCCTGGCAACTGTGGGACCATCCTCCAGTCTGGCCCTTAGCTTCCTGACATTCCTTGGAATGCAGCCTGCTGAGCCAGAGAAGCCACATGATATTGTCTTCAAGAGGGGACCATGTGCTAGCAACGTGTTCCTTGAAGATGATTTTTGGAAACTGTCTCATTTCTGTCTGTTTTGCCTGGAAACCTGACTTCCACATCTAAATTAATGTGACCTCTCCCCACCTCCCACCCC